TAGATACTTGGTTGGACAGTGGGGGTAATAAAGAGGTGTTATCTGCTTCCAGCGGGATGGCTGGCTGAGGAGGCACATAGGCCGGGTATTTAGAGGTGATCTCTTGGCGGAAGACGTGATAGTCTAGGGGCGAAGCAGTGATGGTGTCTTTACCAGCTGCCTTGTCGCCCATCTCATTGGTAGCCTCCTTGATGGCCTTGAGCTCCTTGGACCCGCCGAATACAAGAAGGATAGACTTCCAGAAGAGGAGAAATATCTACAATATGTAAGTAAGGAGTCTGATTTTGCAACAAGAACACATACATGAGTTTGGGGCATCGTGTTATGTTCGTCCCAACGCAGTTTCGATGTTGCTGTAAACATGTAATCAACCAACGAGGGCTTGAGTTCCACTAGCAGATGTTAGTTGTGGCACCATATACATGAATAGTAAACTCACATAGCTTTCCATGGGTGGAGGACATGTCCTCTGGATCACTCAGAGTCTCTTGTATGGCAATATACATGATAGTCATGAGGTTCATCAACTCATCCTGGGCTTCTTGAACATTATTATGTGACCCCAGGGGTTCTCCGGACCTAAAATTGCCAATCAGCTTGGAGCATAGTAACCAAGAAACTGGTATAGTCACCAATGCACTTCAAAGCTATTTCTGAGGGCTTCCCATATGACAGGCAAGCCCTCCAACGACGTCAAACACTCAACCCCAGCCTTGATGGCCTGGAGCTGGGATTTACTCGCGACAGACCGACTATCACCAGGTGTCGCATTCGACATGGCAGTATCGTTCCAACGCCCCAGGACAAGATACACCAGCTTCCCGATGGAAGCGTTCCGCAGCGCGGCATCGTTAGACTGCACGCCTGCGATGGCGGCCTGGATGAAGCGCGCACGTGTGTCGTTGTCGGCGTCGTCCCACTCGTCCTGGGCGCGGAACTCGTGCTGCCAATGCCACTTAAACGCTCGCTGGGCTGCACTCAGTCGTACCCACTGTGGTAGTTGATAATTGAACCACTCGTCGATCTCCTCGGCGTGCGGGCCCAGGTCGGTGTACTCAAAGTCGTAGGCGACGGGCTCGGAACGGTTGAACTCGGCGACGATATGGCGTAGTTGCTGTAGAGAGAGCGAGTCGGTCGGATTCGGGGGGCCGTTAGCCGGAGGAGGAGCCATGGGGGCCGCGGGGGGAGCTCCTTGCAAGGCGTTGCGCTGGAGAGGAGGTCTCGACAGCGGCGGCGCGGGGACGGGTGGAAGCTCGTGTTGCCCAGTCTCTCCGGCCATATCTGTAACCTCTCCCGTATCGGCGACATCTTCGGTGGGCGTGAGGGACTGGGCCCCGTCTTGAGCGGCCCTCGAGGGCCAGAGGTTGCTCATGGTGTATGTTTGGACGTTGGATCTCGAGGCTGGTTCGAAACGATTGCCCCACCAAGATTGTTCTCTATTCGGCTCTGGCTCTCAAGCCATCGTCACGGTACAGGGGTCGTTCTGGTCGTCGGCGAGTCTAGGGCTATTACAAGATGGATACTGTTTCCAAAGGCGAAGATGCTCGGTGTGGTAGTGGATGTGGACGTGGCAGGCTGGGGGATCCAATGCAAGCAGCTCACTTCAGCCTTGGGGATTTGGAGTTGCGCCGGCGGAGTTAATTGGTGGCCTGGGCGCCTAGAAATACAGGGTCCACCTCCACCTCCCACCACAGACTGCACAGTTGATCTGGACCATGGTTGGCTTGTGCGACCAAGCCTCATTTTGTAGCTTGAAGTCTCAAATCTTTTTTAAACGACGGCCGAGGAATTGATCAGTGCTAGGCTTGGGTATAGTAGAATACGATGGAATCACTCAGAGCCTGCAGAGTCGTCATCAGAGCCTCCTCCCTCTCCGTTGCCCGCTTGCTTCTGTTCCCTAGCCTTGGCTCTCTTTCTCAGCTTCTTTAGTCGGTTCAACCTCTTCTTCTTGTCTTTGATATGTTCCTCCTTCTCCGTCAGCCTCTGTGTCTCGGCCGCCTTCTTTTCTTCCTTGGCTTTTGATCTCTTCCTTAGTGATATCCGTTGCTTCTTGCCTGGCCGTCTTTTACTCTTGCTCGCCTCGTCTTCTGTCTTCTCACCAGGCTTGGCCTTTCTCGTCACCGTGATGGCTGTAACTTTCCAAGGCAGTTCCAGCCCCCAGGCCTTATCGTGCGATCTTTCGAGTACCTGGTCCCCGCTCAAGGCTGCGTATGCGTATTGTTGCTTCAGTTGTGTGGGCACATTCGTTACCACGTAGTAGGACAGTGGTCGACCATGGACGAATTCGCCTTCGCCTGTAGGTTCAACATCTTCCTCCAGGATAACCTTTTGCGCGGCAGGGGCGCTACTGAAGAGACGAAACGCAAATTCCTCCTCGGCATCCTCCCCTGTCCCATCAAGAGAACCAGAGCCCCCTGCTTCTTTGTCACCTGACCCTTTGGGTCCTGCGAGATGAGAATCCCCCATAATGAGATCGTCGGCAGGCTGGGCGAAGCTGATGTCCAGCCCCAGCGACTTTGCGATCTGCGTATTCAGCCTCGCCCGCAGCTCAGCGTCCTGGATACCATCATCACTCTCACTCCCATTATCTGATCCGTTCAGATCCTCCCTTCGAACCCTAATAGGAAATTAGGAACTGAATTTCAAGTCTCCCGTAATGGAGGAAGAATGAAACCGTTACATACCTCTTTGCTTCTGGAAGGTCAAACATGGTTGTCGTCTCACAACCCCCCTTTCCCCTCAAACTATTGATGGAAAAGATGGAACGGGCTGAAGATGCTAGCGGGCTTACCAATATACGCTACCGTCCACGTCGCATTCAACAGACCAGAGCTGAAGAAGAAAAAAAAAAGAAAAAAAAATGGTCCCGTCGCCGGCGGTCCGCGGATCTTGAGCACGCGCGGCGTCGATGACGATGGGGACAAATCAGACTTGGCGAGAATGAAGCAAAAAGAACTGGGTCTCTCTTCGTTCTCGTTTTTGCACAGACGAAGAAATGAAGGGGGACAAGGGGTGACGAGAAAAGGTATGGCCACGACAACGCGAAAAGCAGCTGAAATCTCCAGTTTATCCGCTTTTCAGTGCGACGACGTCAAGACGAGACAATGGGCGATGCAACCCAAGAATTTCCTTTTGCTTATCTTATCGCGCCTGGCGCTGAGTTGCCTGCCACAAGTCAGCACGGCCCGAAGCGGACAAAAAGAGCCAGTCAGTTTAGAAGCTTGATATTGGGCATCTTTTTTGCACTCTTTCTATTACACCACATCTAGCTGTGACAAGCCAAAAACAACTTGAGATGAAGCTCAAATTTTACTCCAGCGCATCATTCCTTCTCTAATATTTAGCCTCACACAGCGTATCATCGAAGCTATACCACATCTACGGCGAGCTCCGTATTGCTTCGATTCCGGTCTTTTCTTTCCACCACTCGCACGACCCGCTAACAAGACCTCATTCTCCTCCTCGGCCAATCATCTCCCTCATCCGTCCTCTCCCACAACGACCATCACGACACCATCCCACGGCGGGCCACCCCCTGGTTAGAGCCTCGACTTGGGACCGAGCTGCCGGGTGACGCTATTCACGGATTTGGTAAATAGCTCGCGACTACCTACGGCTACAAGCTCGTGCGTGCTCCCACTGCCGCTCCAAGCAGCTCGGATGGCCCAAGCCCCCGGGACCGACGGGGGAACCGACTGTCCATGACCCTCGGTGGCGCCCGCTCGTGATGGTGGTGACCGCCATGATGCGACGACACCAAGCAAGCTGCGACCTCGCCAGGCATAAAGCAGCTGGCATCCCCGAGACTATCTGGGATGGATGGACCCTTTACCACCCCTTTGGTACTGAAGACTCCACCTACTTCCGGGGGAGCCACGCAACATCAGACTCGATCCAGATATGGCTTGGCCCTCGGCCCATCTTCACGATGTGCTGCCATGGCTTTGTTGGTCGCGATCGGTCGTCTCATCGTAATTTCCAGCCCGTGTCTCATTTCCTGGCGGGTACCTCTACCGCCTCAGGCGAGTACTTCAACTCTCTAACCCCCAGACTCGAGTGTGCCTTGGAATACACCTTCACACCAACGATGTTTTCCATTTGACACGGTGGACAACAAGAGCCCAGTCTCAACCGGTTGGAGCCCAACTCGACTATTGAATAACCACAACCAACGCCCAAGCAGCTCATGCTCACTCCCCACACATGGACGACCACCGATTACCGATCACACATCTTGATATAAATCATTCATTAAAGATTGTCAACTTCTGCGAATTACTTCATCAATACATAGGGGAACTTGTTCTCAGCAGCCATCGTCTGATGCACGCGGCGCTTGACAAAACACAACAAAAACGTCCATCTCAGAAAGCATCTAATCAGAACCGACGAAACTTCGCAAGCTCATCATACCAAGCAAGAAAGAACAAAACGCCTCTTCTTTTCGCCTGGTCCATCCATCCGTCGTCCATCCTTTGGTCTCAGCCATGCAACAGTGTCTCGAATAATCGCATTCCCGAATCTTTGCTGGAAAAAGACAGCAAAAGACGCCGAGTTGTCGAATCTTGATCGTTCCGTTCCAAGTCATGGACCTCTAGTCGTCGACCATCTTGATGCATCGAAAACTCTTCACCCAGCCGATCCTTCAGTGCCGTCTCCGATTATCCCGTCATTTGAATGAGGAGCCGTCCATCATGCCAACCAACTGTTTACCACCAGCTCGTCGTCCTCCCGTCCATCCATCCGTCTACTTCCAGGTGTCCCGGAATTCTCAAAATCAGTGCAAGCCGCCCAATTCAGTTCAGTTTCCCAACACCGGCCGTCATAAAATAAAGTAAAAACTCCAAAAAGGTATTGTACAAGCTCACTGACATATGAACCAAGCGCTCGACAAAGCCAGTGGTGTTCATTTCTCATCGTCATGCCAACATCTTTTGTTGGCAGCTTTTGTATATCGTCAAATGCGAGCTTCGCCACTCGAGAGGACGAGCGCCTCAGGTCTAACTGGGGTTCCAGGAGTACTGGTTCATGGCATCAAATGAGCCTCGCTGCCCACCGTTGTAGACCGATGGAGGTTGCGATTGGCTCGACTCTGTCTTGACTGGCGAAGCGCCGGCCGTGTTGTTTTTGTACTGGTCTTGGGGGAATGGGTACGGACGCGCTTCATTGCTGGCGTACGCGATGCTGTTGCTGTGCTCTCCCGCTGCCGTCGTCCAAGTGTTCGAGGGTGGGTAGTAGTCCCTCGCCGGGACCGATGGCGGCGCAGACGACTCAGCGTTGTAGCCCGGTTGCGCCACATCGCTAGGGCTTGTGTGGACAGGTGCGTATGACCCGTATCGGTACTCAGGGGAGGCATCGTTGTTCGCTATCGAGCCCGCGCTGCGTATGGATGGGTGACTCATATGACGGGGACTCTTAAGTGGTCGCGGATTGTCGACATAGCGAGGAATGTTCATTGCGTGCTCGTGACCGCCGAGCGGCGCCGTGTGAATCGACAGTTGCGGAGGAGCTGTCGTTGACTGCATGTAGGTGTATTGAGACCGAACCGGTGGGTGCTCCGAGTCCGTGGCCACCATGGAGAGCGGCACGGATGGCTCCATCGACGTTTGGATAGGCAGCCCTTGTGGTTCGGCAGTAAAGTTGGTGGTCCCTGTAAGGGGTCCCATTGTCGCCGGTGGATAACTCTCAGGACCAGAGGACGGAACCTGTCCCATTGGCACCTGAGTCGGCGACGTCCAAGTTGGGTACGAACTACGGCTTGTCAGTACAGCTCTAATTCAGGTCTCCCCCTAGTGACTCGGGGCCGACTGTCGCGTCCGGCGTCCAGTTCCCCATAATCTGACTAGACGGATCGTAGATGGGTCGACTCACTTGGATCGTATGGGCCCTAGCTGGGTGCCGGGCATTTTAGGCGCGCTAAAGGTAAACGCGGTTCGCGGTAGCTGTGTGTCGATGCCTCTGGCCTTTTCCTGGTGCTTCGCACTCAACGGTCCTGCAACAACGCCCAGCCCAGTTTCCACAAGGGCTTGTCCACGGGATCCTGCGCTTGATCCCAGAAGAGGGATCTCCTTGCGGGCCTGAAAGTTGCGAGGGCTTCGGCCTCGCACCACGATAGGCGCAGTCGTGGACTCCGTCAATACAGCCTTGGTGCCGTTGGCCAAGGTTCCAACCACCTTCAAGTGCAATACGAAATGCTGCTGAAGTTCCTTTCGTCGACCGTTGTTTGCTGTCGCGCTTGATTCTCTGTCAGCATCTTCACGTCGCTTGTATACGATAAAACTTACATTCTAAACTGCAGTCGACGCCAGCCGATGGGGTACACGGCAAACTCCCCTTCCGCTTCTGTTCCATCTTCCTGGAAGGGAATCAGAGGGAGGGATTGGGGTTCTTGGTCAGGACTCTGGTTGGTCTCGGGCGAGTTTGGTGGAGGTGTCTTCCAAGGGATAACAATCAACCGGACGGGGTTGCCATCGACAGACTCGATGGCCGAGATGGTGACCTCGGTGCTGTTTACTGCCACAGTTTCTCCCGCCTCGGTGATGACAGAGAGCTGACCACGCGGAGTTACAAGGGAGCCGCTGATCTGGAAGAGATTTCTCCGGTAGCAGGTCAGTTCCGGCTGTCGAAGCGAGCCGTCGGCTGTGCTTGTGGGCATTTCCGAAAGGAAAAACATGCCGTGAAGCTGAGCAGACAATTCGAGCTGCTGCACACGGCCTTGCTGGTCGACGATGGTGTTCTTGTCCTGGGTCCTCTTAAAGGCCAAGAGCTTGTGCTCGTGGCTGGCGCTCATCTTGGAGTTGTCGTCGCGGAGATCCTGGACGATCTCCTGATACGCGGGTGGCTCCGTCTCGGAAAAGGACCTCTTGAGATTGGGGTAGCCGTGATGAGAGACGATTTCCGGATGCGCTGACCTCTCATACGCCTCTTGGTCGTCCGGAGGGTATCGACTGTAGGAGTACGAAGGCTGGTCCATCTCCGTGTGGTTGCTGCTGGTTCGTCCAGAGAGCGGCGAGGAAGTTGACGGCATGGAATCGGGGACCCGACCCGGGATGTGCACTGAACCACCATAACTTGACCACATGCCCGAATGCCCAGGGTGGCCTCTCAGATCTGCCATAGTGGCCGGATATGCTGCTGCGGTTGTCATGGGAGCATAACCTGATCAACTCGCCGCCTCCTCAACCAGACCAGAATGCCTGGGCTAAACCCGTCGCTAGTAAGGCGGCCCAGAGAGCATAAAAGTTGAGACAGGCAAGCTGGTTGTCGGCAGAGAAGAAAGGGCACGCAGTTTGTTCTTGGCACAGAACAGAGTGCGATGGCGATGGGAGCGTGCGTGCGTGCGGTGTTGGAGGCGATGAAAGGGACGGGATCCAAGACACAGGGGAGTGAAGTCAAGGTTGCAGGTGCAAGTGTACTTGTATATGGGAGTGGATGGCGACCAGAGGAACGGCAGATGGTGGAGGGGAGTGTTTGGTAAAATGCCCGGCACTGTCTCCGGGGTGGAGACCGAGTTGGACGGGGGGAAGTTTCGAGGTCCAGGCACAGGGACTTGGGTCAGCACTCTCGACCACGGCCTCGCATCAAGCAAGCCCGGAGAGGGTTCTCAGTAGAGAAACTCAGAAGGGCCGGGCATGAGCGTCTGTGGGTTGGGGAGGCCACTCCAGCGCACGCGGCCGTTCTTGGAAGGAGGATGGATGGGGAGTGGAGGGGCGGATCTGGGAGAAACAATCACAGCCTGTTACGGTGGTCGAAGCAGATACCCTGCAAATACTCGGCAATGCTGGGGGACGAGGTCTCTTAAGAGACGGTGATATCCCACGGGATGTGATGGTATGGCGACGGCGGCGATGAGGGTGATAGAGCAAGCAGGTAACGCGCAGTGGGCAACGCAGTTAGTTAGTTGTTCAAGGATGAGCTTCGTCGGGCGCCCATCATGGGAGACGGCAGGTCTGATAAGGTGGATGCGTTGATGGAGCGTAATGGAGCTTAGACGAAGCTATGCCCCGGAGGTAGTCTAGCAGCAAGAGGGTCCAAGGGAACCGCAAAGTGCCGGGTACAGGCAGGCAGGTTAGCAGACCTAGAGGCAGACATGGAGACAGGCCTGCTCTGCTGCTAGGAGGCAAGGACCGACGAGCCCGGTGGCTCGCTCGCTCTGGGGGCCAGGGCCTTTGACGCGAGGTGAGAGAGAGAGACGACATCCCAGACACGCCCCAGTCCACCACAGTCCCTTCCCTCATCCCCTCGTCAGCGTCTACCGAGGGGTTCGAGAACACCCCTGCCCGTTGAGTCGAGCATCGAGACTCTTTGCAAGAGGCGGCCATGTACTGTTGACAAGCGGCAACGCTAAAGTCTGGATGAGAACATGCCATGTGTAACCCAGGGCCCGTGTACTGGCTACCCCGTCCATGGCGGTTGGGATTAGATGGAGAGAGGCCGACGAGCAATGGGTCGAGTGGGGACACGGGGGCCATCTCTGAGGGCCGGAAGCCCCTCCTCCCTGAGGCAAGGCGCCCCATTCATGACCAATCCCGGACCCTGATGCCTGACCGGGGATGTTGATTTTGAAAGAAGAATCCTCCGAGCTCGAGTAAAGGCTGTTGGCCCGCAAATTTCTAGAAGACCGTTGGACAGAGTCGCCAATGGGGCAGCGCGAAAGAGCAGGGAGGCGAGGAAACAGAGCAAAATTCGGACTCGAAGAGTTTTGCTGTCGACAAGGGGTCTCGTCTCCTCTCGGCCATTGCTTCCCCCTATGTCCGCATCGTGATCTGCTGTCTTTTCTCAGAGCGAATGAATGCCTGAAGGCATTAACACGGGGCTATATCAGACAACGGGCCCTGCACCCCATGGTCCATGGTTGACTCTGGGTAGCGTGCAATGCTAGACGATGCGCAAACAACGTTGGATCGAGACCCGGTCACAAACCGGAGCAGGTATTTGCCTTGCAACGATCCGTTTTGGGATCGACTCGGGAGATGAGAAACTGGAGCACCTTCTCGGTCTGGCGAAGAGATGGCTTAGCTTATGCTTACCCGAAGCCTTTTGGATGCGGCATTGGTGGGCGCCGGCTGACGGAGAAGAGGTGGAGACGACGGCGCGGCCCCGTCATCAGCATAGCGCTGCAGTATGGCATCAACCATCCGCAGCAGTGGCAGCAGGGACGGGCGCGCTACGCTGGTAGGTGCGTGCTGTCCTGTGGCATTGGTAGCCCAGCAGCACCTCCAGTACTGTATCGGAGGCACTGCAGCCATGACAGCAGCAGCAGCCCGGAGAACCAGCACGAACCATAGGCCATCCCAGGGCCATCCTGGGCCTTCTGTAGGGCCGTCCCATGCCATCCAATCTGTTTGGAAGCTTGTCCGCACCATCATCTGCGCGAGACGACCTCCCAGCCTGGGCATGCTCGTGCCGCATTGTGGAATTGAATTTGGCCGATGATGCGGAGAAGCTGGTTCCGGGTCGCAGCCTCGTGTTTGATGGAGATTCAGGACCACGGCACTGGCATATGGCGTATAGACCACAGTATCCGTTTGCTCATGGGCGAATAGACAAACAGAAGACGAGACTGCGGTTGGGCCGGGAGCTCGCTGCTGGGCCATGTGGCTTTGGCTCGGACCAGCACCACAATTTCTGGGTTTTCGAATCCTTGCCTGTGAACAATGATGCTAATCATGACGATGAGCGCGGCTTACGGCGAGCTCTCGGCGGGTGGACAGACGAAACAGGCGCCTTTCGTCACGACTCAGTAATTGCCGTCATAGTGCTCAAGCTCGCTGCGGCTCATGATGAATACACGCGAGGGGGAATAGCCCTTGGAACGAACGGGCGCCCTTTTGGAGATGGCTTCACCTCGCGCCGTTGCATCGATGTCTCGCGTTGTCGTTGGTTGGTTCGTGGGTGGAGAAGAATGCCAGGGCCGGCCAGGGCCAGCCCCCCCAAAGAAAAAAAGTGAGACAAGGGCACGAGGGGAAGGAGCTTTGGAAGGAGGTTCAAGTGGAGTCGTGACCTTTGTTGGAGGAGGCAAGGAGACGTGCGAGGGGAAACCACGACCAGGTCAGAGCCAGTCGCAAGCAAGCATGCAAGCATGCACTAAGACAGAATGAGCAAGAAGCGAACCAGGGAAAGGCAGGAGCGGCCGGGGCCGTGCCCCCTTCCCAACGGCCGCCCCCCTCAACGGTCGTCCCCCCACAGTGTCTCAGTACGGTGTGCCTAGCGCTTCCAGCACCGTCCAAAACAGCCCACTTCCCAAGTTCGTCCTCGCGCCGCTCGGTCAAGGTCCAGGCTCTCTGCCCCAACAGGGCCTTGTCTTGTTCTGCGTCCGCCTCCTCCAGGTTTCGCATGCATGCAGGCATGGTGAGGAAACCTAATCGGTCGCGGGTATGGCATCCGCATCGCGTGTTTTTGTCGTCAGCGTGCCTCCAGGGGGCGGCTGCGATAGCTCCAAGCTCCATTTCAGCGACTTCAGGACACCAGGGCAGATCCAAGTCGCCAGGGCCTCAAGCGCGCCAGCCTACCTTAGGCGAAGCGAAGTCTCAAAGTCCATCATCCACCAAGGTTTGGCCGATGGCGCGAAAGGGCGAAACGCTCGCCTTGCTCGAGCAGGCCTCCTTTCATCCCGACCAGGACTCTCCGTCAAGACCAAACAAAGGACACCAAACCTGAAATGACCAATTCAGACAAGTCCAAACATTTTTTACCTAGGATACAAGACCACCAACCATGCCACTGCGCCAGAAGGGAAAATGAGGCCCTGCTATCTACCGGGGCACGACTCGAACAACAACTCGTCGACGAGAGAGAGCAGGCAAGGGTGTGCATTCCTCCATCGCGACAAGACAAGCAAGCACACACTTTGCGCACGTCCACACACCCGCATCGTCTTCATATCCAGGTCGAGTAGCACAGACTGAAGGAAACTCACGGCCACCGCAGATGCTTACTACGAACAAGCGACGAGGACGCAGATTCTCGCGCGCAGGTCATCACCCTCACATGCCGGCGGCGGTTCTCGATTGCGGGGATGGGTGACCGGCTCTAATCCTCATTCGCCGCTCAAGGTGTACGGCAAATGAATTCGCACCTCTTCACCCGCGATCATGGTTGCGGGTGTCCTTGGTTGAGACTTGCACATCGCCCGCAAACACGGCTGCCAAGCCCGCGCCCTGGAACCATAACCCAAAATCACAAGCCCCCCAAACCCAGACAAGGGATTGACTTTCACCGGTGGGCAGTCCCTCCTGACACAGGCGCCCAGACGCCACTCCGACGGTAGTTCCTCGTCCCTATCTCGTCCCGCCGTCTATCCCTCGATGTAACCATCCCAGGTGGCCACGGCGATTTTTCTGAGATCTGGCAGTCCAGTGCGTCCGCCTGGCTTCGCAGCAGCAGCATTGAAATGGGATGCAGATGGCTTGCGTGCCCATTGATGCCGCTTGCCGTCTCACGGGCCACCCAGGGTCTTCTCCCAGGATTCCCCTTCGGGATGTGCCTGGACGCTCCACAATTGGCCATTGTGACGGACTCCCGTTTTGGCCGGTTTGGGGTCATGGTTGACAGCTTTAAGAGCGTATTCCAGGACAAGGGCTGGTCGCATTGATTATTCGGGGCCTGATGCGGACGAACTACCGCTCCATGTGCCCTCGAGTCGAGGTCGAAGCAAGCTTGCAATTTCAACGCCCAAGCACCGTGCTCTGCACCGACCGATGACGAATGATAATGATGGATGGGCGCGGTGCAAACACTGCGCGGTGCGCGGGAGCGTCGCGGGATCCGCGACAAAGGGGCCGAGATTTGAGCGACTATTGTGACTTGTGGACTCTGGCCGAGATTATGTTTCGCACATCCATGGTCTTAGAACGCCGGCTTAAGATATATCAGCAAGCTTTTATGGGCACTACCACTGACGGCCGGTCCATGTCATTGGCTGCTGCGGAGGGTCGCTAAAACGGCGCTGCAGGTGTGCATATGCGTGAGGTGAGAGGTGTGCTGCTTTGAGCGCATCCATGTTCACACGCACGCCAGAAGCTGCACCAGGCCGGCCGTCCGCAGCTTGTGCGGCCACGCCAGAGTTCAGAGCCGCACTAGATGGGATGGCTATCTTTGTCCACCTAAGGCAACGCGGTACGACATGGAGAGAGAAGGGAGGAAAGGTTGTTTGGAATGTTTCACAGCTGCGACCAACGATCAATAGGTGCCGTCGGGGTGGACGGGAGGCTACGATGATGACTGGCTCCCCAACCGCAGCGTAACCGCAGACGTTGCAACGCGCCAGCAGATCGCGGCAGTTGAACGCCCACAGCCCACAGTGCCAGTGCCATGAGCCAGAGAGCGGAGTCGAGGCACTGGCTCCCTTGCAAGCCCGTCCAAGCAGGTAAGCCCAAGCCTTGCTGCTGCTGGCATTGGGTTTTAGTGCTTCTGGCTCCGTGGCTGCCGACGAGTCCCGCCCCTTGTTCCCTCAAGCACGCAAGCCCACTTTTGTCCGGGGTGAGGGACGAGAAGACTCCAACTGGCTTGGCTTGGGCCCGCCTCTCCGGCCGGTAGACCCTTTTCGGACGACGATCATCGCCCAGCAACCCTGACTGGGAGGCGCTTGACTCGCTTTGGGCAGTGGACTAATATTATCGACTTGGCTGTTATTCAACGCGAACGCCGATCGAAGGGGGTTGAACCCGGCTCTTGTTAATGATGAGTTATGCCTGGATGAGGAATCAAAGGCATCTCGGGGTCCCCTTTCCACATGCAGCAGGCAATCGACGCACATCGGCCGACTAATTACCTTTCCCCTGAGATTGCGAGATGATGCAGATTGATGCGCATAACGTTATTTAACTCTGAGAGATGAGTATGTGGCTGGGTTGCTCATGGATATTCAGTCAGAGTTCAGCCTTGCCGAGGGAGATGGATGGAGTGTTTGGTTTCTCTCTTGTTGGTGGTCGATCGATCCCCTGCCAATTCCCGAAGGCCTCAACCACCACCTGGCTACCTTAGCAAGTCTCAGGTAACTCGAGACAAGCGCTACTTGGTTACAACCCGCGTTGGTGGCTCTACGACATGGGACGATTTTCCGCCTCTATGTTTGGAACTAGCCAAATAAGCAACTTAGACTTTGGGACAAGCGCACCTCTGACGACACAACGGCTCAGTCTCTGGATTCTGCCCAGTGTCGGACGAACCAGGGCTCGGCAGAGGAAGAAGAAACAACAACATGAGCAGGCAAGAAACAACAATGATGACAACCAAACATCCGAGTTGAAACGAAACGTTGGAGTTGTTTGTTTCCCCAGCCACCAATCGCGGCGTTTGTTGGGCCAAGCTAGCAAGCCCTTGAAGGCACACTTAGCCTGGGGTTGCGGAGTCTCCAACGGCACCAAGAGTACTCAGCGATTCCAACTATTATGCAATTCCACGACCGCTAAGGAGCGAATCGCATCTTTTCGTCCCGAGTCTCTCTAAGGGCATCAGGCCACACCAAGACCAATCGTCCCGATGAAAACTGTCCGTGTAGAATCAACCAAGCGTCATTTCCCCAACGTCTACGGTGCAGCTTTTGGGGAGGAGGGATGGTCCTTGTACTCTCGCCTGGCCCACCATCAGCGGTAGATTGTCGCGCCCCAAAGGATCCCTGCGAGGCTTTGCAGACGCACTATTATTATGGCTGGCACGAAAATACCTCGAACGGAACGCTCTGCTAGACTGACTCGTCGACGGTGCCTGATTCGTGTACCTGTGTTGGTGAGTCTACTCTGTGCGTCGATGTGGTATCAACGACTCAGCCCTACCACTTTTAAAGGCACTTTGGTGATGCACTTGCGGCTCCCGACCTCGACGATCCAGGGGCATCTGACTGATTGACGATCGACGCAACGTGCCGGCAAGCATGGGGAACTCCCCCGGTGCTCCAGTGTCATGTCTAGACCTGTGAAGCTAGCAGAAAGCCGTTGTGGTTGCTCCAATTCATTGCAGAGAAGGGCCACATGGGCGAGTGAGGCGTACAACGGGGCGCCGCCAAACGCAAAGACCTCGACAGGACAGGACAGGACGCAGAGAAGCCGATATGCATGGCGCACGCGTGGCTACGGGTCCATCCTCCAAGGCTTGCAAGGGTGAATTTAACGGCGGCTTGCAAACAAGCCCGTCTTGGGAACGTGTGATGGTTTCACCACATTATCAAGGGCGCAGAATGTCTCTGCCGGCTTGAGGATCAGCTCGACTTGGCCTCGAGGCCTGAGTGAGGCAGACGACGGCCATGTCTCGACTTCTGACAAGACGCGTCTGGCTAACAAGCTCATCACACGCTGAATGTCATGGTTGGGTCTCTAACCGAACCGATCTATCCGTCCCGAGAGGCGACACAAGAGCCGGCTTGCGCCAGTTCTGCAACTGTCGGCCCAGACCGGCCGCTACCGCAAGTCAACAATCTCAACGTTGACCAGAGATGCCAGCAGCAGCAACGACAACGACAACATGTGTGTGTATGTGTGCGTGTTTGCGTGTGTGTGGGAGAGAGCGGGGGTCTCTTTTTAGGTATGTGATAGCTGTGGGTTGGACATCTGCAAGCTCCTGAGCACAAGTTCCTCGTTGGATCAGAGTTCCGGCACAGTAAGCTTGCTGTGGGAAGCTGTATCAACGGCAGTTGTCGAGAAGAGACGAGTCATTCCCCTTTGCGGCAAACGGACGGAAGGACGACTCATCAGACGATCGCGCCATGTCGTCTCTTTTGCCACAACCGGCTCCTCGAGGACGAGAAAGGAGTACGGGCTCAACATTACATGACCCGATCCATCCACGGTCGTCTAGTCCGCCCCAACTCGTCGCTTCCCGAGTCCTGTCAAAGATGATGCTGGTCTAGGTTATCCCTACTTGGGCGCATAGTCTCTCGGAGGGCAACCCTCGGCGTCTCTGCAGACAAACAAGACCAGGTGCAGTACCACGTGAACTATTCAAATACGACTGCAGACTATTGGAAGATGTTGTTGCTCCGGGGTTTGCCTCGCGTTCGCGAGAGATGCTGGACCAGTCGGTGTGCGTCTTGCACCAAGGTTGACAAGATGGTGTCGATGCCCTTGGCATCAGTGACTCTGGTGCTACCCTCCTTGCGTCCGGGCTCTAGGCCTCGTTTAAGTTTTGTGCTCTGACCTTGGCTTTCCAGACTCGACTTGCTGAGAGGAAAGGTACGGTTCGAATGGTTCAAACTGGCCACGTTGCCATGAACCGTTTCGTCATTCTTTGTGAGAGGAGAGCAGGTGAGCAGAACTCGAGGCGGGTCATAGTCATACTCTACAGCACGGCAGTTGGTTTTCAACCTTGGGCTTGGGGAGCGGTTCGACCGGCTAGCCAGTAAGCCAGCGCTGGGAATTCGGGGATCAACAAAGCCAAAGGCTCAATATCGCCGCCCAACGCCGATCAGCATGTGATGCCTAGCATCAAACATGGGTCTTCGAAGGGATGGTCCCCCCGAGTAAAAGCAAAAGGGCGAGTCAGGCTGGGGCTGGTGTTTGAAGTGATCGGCGAGTCTTGTCCAGGATCAGGTTGCTCTACCGAGTGAAAAGCCCGACTGGCGGTCTGGTGCTCGCTCACACCTAGGCGAATGGGAGAACCCATGCACACCAAAGAGCGGTTTGAGAGGTGTAGTATCCACAGGATGATCAAGGCGTACGTACGTCCCACCTGGGCAAGAGTCTAACGTTAGTCTACTGGATATGTCAAACGGTGCAGGGAGAGAGGGTCTTGTTGTTGCACAAGATGATGCCGCCTTGTTCAACGGCCGCAGCATGCATCTCACTTTATTGTAAGTGGTGTTGCTCATCCGTGAGAGTTGAGCGGACGGGGTGTGGGAGGGTACAATACTGATATCCTGACATCCTAGACAGGCAGACATCGTCATTGTGGCAAGAATGGTTCAACTTCGAGAAGGATATGCAAAGAAAAGGCTCGTGGATTCATTCATTTATACATCATTCTTTGGATCTCGGAAGTGAGGAGATCCGGATTCGCTATACATACGCACAAGAAAACGTCTGTCTACAGTATGACATTTGAGTCACTCGGTTGAATGAGAACGCTGGGTCATCCAAGGGAGGCCCCTACTGGGCTTTCATTTCCCGGTTATTGGATTATCCAGTTGTCGCCCTCTTCGTCCGAGTCGCCTTCTACGAGGTCTTCCTCGTCCAGCAGGGCCATCTGCACGAAGCGACGAACCCAGGCCTCTTGGGCTGGGTCGAGGCCGGCGGGGTTATTGTTGTTATTGTTGTTATTGTTATTGTTGACGGCCTGGTTCTGGACCGGTTGCTGCTGCTGCTGCTGCTGCTGCTGCTGTTGTTGTTGATGTTGATGTTGTTGCTGCTGTTGGTTGTGATGGGCAGGTGGTTGGTGTTGTTGATGATGCTGTTGTTGCTGATTCGGTCGCTGACGTGCAGCACCTCCTCCACGCCCTCTACCTCTCCCTCGGGGTGCCGGCGCCGCTGGCTGGTGTCTTCCACCGCCTCTTGCACCGCGTCCTCGACCCGCCGGGCCTCGAGGTGGGCCGTGGTGGCCGCGGCCCGCTGCTGGTTGTTGTGGTGCGTCAGGCGCAGCCGGAGGGACCGCCCGGCGGCCGTCTCTGGCATGGTTGTCGACTAGTCGGATAACGAGGGGACCTTCGCGAGCGACTTCGATGGCCTGACCTTGAGCGCCTAACTGAGCCTGCGGCTGGTTGGCGTCGGCGGCATTTCCCTGGTCCTCGTTGTCGCTGTCATCATCAGACTCGAACTCAATCACCTCGAGCGGTACCGCCGGTTCCTGTGCCTGTGCCTGTGCAGGACCTCTTCCTCCGATGAAGCCAAGTCCCACATCGTCGCCGTCGCCGCCCTCGAGTTCCCAGAGCCGCATGTAACACGAAGTGACCTTTCCACTGGGCTGCTGGTTGTAGTGCTGATAGGGGTTGACAGGATCGAGCCATGACGAACACAGATAGCAGAAGTGGGTGTCGCAGCGAGAGCAGATCATGTGGTTGCAGCCGTGAGTCTTTTGCGCGGGGGCGTTGCACGTCGGACAAGGACTCGTGTGAAGCTGGAGATACTCGAGAGAGGCCTTTTCCTCCTCGCTGAGCTCGCCCTTGTCACGTCTTGGTGCGCAGCGGACAAATTCTCCATGCCATGACTGGAAACACTGGCCGCAGAAGGCAAAGCCGCAGTCTTCACAGATGGCCAGGAGGTCGGCCCTGTTGAAGATGTCCTTCTTCTTTTTCTTCTTTGTGCTGTTGTCTCCTTCCTTTTCTTCGTCGTCTTTTTCAGACTCGGCATCGGACGATTCGGCAAAGTCGAGGCCCTCGGGCTTCTTGTGACGTTTAGATCGAGCAGCACCGTTACACCACTGGCGAGGACAGTAGATGGTGTTCTTGTCAGACTCGAGCTCGGTCTTGTACTTGAGCGTAACGTAGCGCTTGACCGTTTCCTCGGCGAGGCCAATCTGGAGAAGCTCGCTGGGGCTCACGGCGACCTTTGGCTTCTTGGTCTCTTTAGAGGCAGCACGCTCCTTGGCACAGTTGGGTGCTAAGCACCGTACAGTGGATAGATTGCCCTCTTTGATGGCGTCATTGTAGAACTCTTGGAGGCATTGGATGCAAAAGATGTGACCGCAGTCGAGCATCTTGTGACACTTGGATCCCTTCTTGGGGTCTGTTGGGAAGAGTTAGTATCTGAAGTCGCAGTAAGCAAGGGTATGTCAACTTACCAAGACAGACACCACAGTCAAAGGTTTCCTTTTCAAAGGCTGCCTTCTTGGACTTGATATCGTGGTCTAACACGGCGAGTTTGTGCTCAGGGTCAACCTCGAGGGTTCCCTCTGGAGTGATGGTCCCAAAGACATCTTCAGCAGCACGCTGGATGTGATCAATGTAAGTAAAGGCAACCATGTCACGTCCAATCTCATCCCACAGACGCGGGCCGTCATCCTCGAGTCTCTTGATAGTCTCCTTCGTCAACCACTGCGGCGTTGTCGATATCTGCACTTTTGGCGGTGCATCTACAGGGTAGCCTTCGGGAAGACGGATCTGCAGCCGCAACGACGGGAGATACGAGACCTCGAGAGAATCCACCTCTGGCTGGCCGTTCTCGGCGGCCTGGCCGGGGGTGTTGAGACCCGGGTGAGCGGGCGCAGAAGCTGCTGGGAAGGTGACGGTGACGGGAGCGGCGGGCTCGACGGGGAGCTCAATCTCAAAGGCGAAGGGGTCCTTGGCGTCGGGGTGACGGATCTCGGGGTAGATGGCCTCGAGGGAGCCTAGCTCCATAAAACGGGGATCATCGCTCTCGTCCATGGTTGTTGATTGTGTGGTTGGTATCAGGAGTGTTCATTATCCTGGATGAGATGCGTGGTGATGTTGGTGAATGTAGAGAGAGGTTGAGTGCTCTCTGGGTAGGATGTAAACAAACAGAGAGTTTTGAAGTTGATGTTTGGGGTATCCACGAATAACCCCAACAGCTTTGCTAGGTCAAGCCTCCATTGTCTGTTCTCTTTGACTCTCTTCTTTCAAAACTCAAACATTTATCGTGAAGCGGGGGGAAAGAGAGGCTTTTGACATGGGGGGGGGGGAGAGAAAAAGTCCAAAAGGGGAAATGGCGATAAGAAGACAAAGAAGCGGGGACTGTTCTAGAAAGATGACTGTGCCCGGACAAGAGTAATAAGTCTCTCTCTTTTTCTTTTTACTCCTTCGTCCACTCAGGAACACGTTATTCCGAGGCTGTAAAAAGAGGTTGGAAGTTGATGACTCTTTTCGCCGTCGTTGGATTCGCCCACTTTAGGCGGCAGATGATGGAGTACGCCACGGAACGCCACTTCCGGGGTGGGGGGAATGTTATGCGCCACATGTTAATGCAGCACCAGCCACAGGAAGCACGAGGCGTAACACCCCTTGTCTGTATCATGTGCATCATCTTCATCATCTACAATTGCACTTTCACTTTCAACCCTCGACGAACGACGCTTTGATCTTTCGTGGGCTTTGCCTTTCCTTTCCTTTCCTTTTAAACTGTACAAAGTATGAAGCCTTGAAGTATCCTCTCGCGATCCTCTACAGACGAGACCTCAAAGAGATTAGTTGCCGTCATGGAGGACACGACGCCCCTTGCTTCCCTCTCCGTCACCCACGTCTACTATGTAAGCCAACACCTACACCCTCAATCTCCAAAACCTCTCCTAACTTTCCACGCTTTAGGACCCTCATGATAAACTCTCCCTCGTATGCGCATACCTCGCCCTCCTCCCCCAAGCCCTCTGCGTCGTCTACGCAACCCTAGTCCTCTTTACGCGCGAAGTAGAGGTCGCCCTTATGTTTGCGGGCCAGTTAGCCTGCGAGGCCATCAACTTTGCTCTCAAACGGCTTATCAAAGAGGAGAGACCGCGGCGCATACACGGCAAGGGGTATGGCATGCCCAGCTCGCACGCGCAGTTTGTCGCATTCTGGAGTGTCTCGCTTGCTCTGTTTCTGCTTGTGCGCCATCGACCGAGACCAGCAAAGGATCATCGTCCTTGGAGTGTTCCTGAGAGGTTGGCCGTGAGCGTCGCGGGAGCTGTGATTGCTGCTGCTACTGCGTGGAGTAGGGTTTATCTCAACTATCATACTACGTGGCAGGTTCTCGTGGGGTGCGCTGCTGGTGTGATAAGTGCGGTTGGATGGTTCGTCATTGTTGCTGTGGTGCGACAGATAGGCCTGTTGAGTTGGGCTCTGGACACGAAATTAGCGAGGGCGTTCAGAGTAAGGGATCTGGCGGTGGAAGAGGACATGTGTCAGGCTGGCTGGGAGAAGTGGGAGGAGAGGAGAATAGCTACATCATCAGACAAGAAGACGAGGTAGATTTGTAACAACATGAATCATAATACACATTTAACAAGTCGTACAAGTAGTAGTTGGTTCAATGCCTCGAGGCCCATCCTTGAGAACTGCCCGAGTCCTAACTACCTGGTCTTTTCTAACAACCCCCTCAGCAAAACTCACCAGAGGGGGTTATAGTTTAACCCTCCCGGTATATAACAAGAAAGGCAACTGGATATCTAACAAGGTCCCAAACAATGCAATGCTTGGCTTTAAAGAAAGAAAAAAAGGAGGAGAAAAAACCGCCCACCCGCCCAATCATGAATAGTAAAAAAAGATGGTCGTGTCCCTTTCCTTTCCTTTCCCAGTCCGTAACGCACCCAAAACAAGTCGCAGTTATTCCCGTTTTGACACGCGTCATCAGATCCACTGATCTTTTCTCATCTCTGGTCCAGCTCTTGAGCCCTGACGGCTATGCATCCCGCGAGAACTCACGGATGAAGATTTCGGGTTATGGGAGAATGGGCCAGTTTTTTGCCTCTGCGGGCTGTACACAGCTGAGCTGAGAGTTGGCTGGTCCTCTTGAGTCTTGTTATCCTTGGCGCTCAGAGGAACAGGAGGCAACTCCTTCTCAAAGTTGTCCTTGACCTGGAATGTTGTGCCCTCGCCCGGCACATCAACGATGGCAATGGCTAGAGGGCTTGTCTTTCTTGGGAAGAAGGTTACTGTGCTGTTTGGGCAGTCAAGGTTGTGCACCTTGTCCGCGTCTTCTTGGACAGGCGCCTTTGAGGGGCGCATGTCGTTGATGTTTGAAAGGCGCAAGCCGATCTGGACAGTAGCAGTTGATACCATCGAGGAGCCACGCCGGCGTGGGGCGTCCTCTGGGACGAAGATGGCCGGTGGTGCGAGGAGGCTATCAGCCAGGTTTGCCAGGTTTGTCGACATTGACGCCTTCTTGGCTGATGTAGGAGAGTAAGTGGTTGTAGGTAGTAGTAGTACAGGTGACTTGGGCTGCTCCTCCTTGGGGAAGATGCTGTACATGCTCTTCTTAAAGTTCTTGAGGGAGGGTTTTGATGAGGCCCGAATAGATCCCGGCTTGGTTGGGAAGGTTTGTGATTGGCGCATGCTTCCAAGTCGCAGAGGTCTGGGGAACGCATGGTTCAGAATGTCTTTTCGAGCTCCCATGACCTTGCCCTCGTCCCTAGCTTCCGCGAGCAACGACTCCCTGCTGGCCTCCTTTCGGATCTGTTGTGGCAGTTGTAGTGGTCGGGGCACAATGGAACTGGGGCTTGATGGTTCCAACTCTTGTCCTTCGAGGTCTGACTTGAAGCCTTTGGCATTGTTGTCACTATCCTCGTAGCTTCCACTCGGAGATTTGCTCGATCGTAGGAAGAGGTAGAGACAGCCTGTCAACAAACCCGAGAGGTTGGCCACGACGGATACCACCATGGATAGTTGCATTGTTTCGGGGCTTGCTGACTGAGGGTCTTCGAACGAAGTGTTGTAGAAGAAGGTTATGAGGAGTGTCTGTTGCCATTAGCTTTGAACACTCTGTATAGGAAGAGAAGTACTCACGTAGGAGAGCAGCGCAATCACCATGTAGTAGACCATGCGCGAAGCCTCATCCCTCACTGCAAAGCTCATACTGGAACCAGTGTGAAGCTTGAAAGAGATGACACCGCATTGAATGAGTATCGACAAGACGACGGTGGTGAGAAGTCCGAAGCAGCCGAGATTGTATCGGTGGAGGTACCAGAACAGACCAGCGAAGCAAAAGTTGGGAGGTTGAATCGCAAAAGTGATGGAAAATGTCACGAGCAGGAAAAGCCCAATGATGACGAGACAAGCAACAACATTCCATCGTCCTCGTGCTGGGAATATGTTTGGCTTCGTAACTCGGATCGCCAGTTCGAGGCCGAATACTAGCTGGATAAAGGGAGTGATGAACAGAGCTGTAGTTGTGTTAGTTGATGCAGTGTCAATCGTCTACCATTGTTGACTTGCCTGGTAGCATAAACTGAGAGATTGTCCGGCATCCAAGAATCATGAGAGACTGGAAACCCTTGGACTGAGCTACCGCGTAGACAATGCCCTGAACCACAATACCGCAGGATAGAACGAAGGGATGTACATCACGGCGCTTGATGAGTCGAAACCAAGAGGCCCTGGTAAGATTGTAAGAATATGCCAACTTCCCTTGGGGCATTCATATTTACCTCCACGTCCATGTTGCATCGTTCCGCTTTGCCGTCTTCCATGACTCCCAGAATATGCTAGCAGCGGTCGCAAAAGCTGCCAACACATTGAAGCTCGCCAGAACGACAATTGAAGTCCGTACTGATGCTGCCGCGGCGAGCTTGAGCTGATTATCCCAGGCTGAGGTCGAGTTTGCCTGGAACTGAAAGCCCGCTGTGTCCAACTCACTGCCGTCCTCGGCCCTCGGCGCGATCCAGTTGACGCTATCCATAATGTCTTTGTTGCAATTGCCGGTAGTTTAGGAGAAGGACAGGCTTCAAGCCTTAGCAGTGCCGGCACTGCGTAGTTGTTTGGGGGCATGGGATTAGGTAGACATGCCGCTTTTGCAAGAAGAAAGATAGTAGACAGGTAGGAAAGAGGGGTCACGCAAAAAGTAAAGAAACGAGCGATCAAAGGAGCACACGACAATGGCCGCTACAGTCAAGTAGTGACCTCTTGCTGCAGACTGGAATCGTCTGGACAAGGCGAGGCTGAGAAAAAGAGTGAATTGATACACCAAGAAAGGAGAGAAAAGGAAGGCTCCTGGCCTACACCAAAAACTGAATGTACAGAGAACGGTATAAAGGTTCAACCCAATATCATCCAGACTAAGGCAAAGAGGCGATGCAAATCTTGATATCTCTGTCCCATCGGAGGCGCATCAAGCCGACTCAAGGGCCCAGACTCGCCCTCGACCACCCCGGCGACAGGAAGAAGGGGACCCCTGAGAAGCAGAATCTCAGCAGGAGCAAGGGTTTTGGGTGCGCCATGACGGCGTTTGGTAACATCGTGGATGGACTCCCTTGTAGCTCGAGATGGGGGAGCTCAAGCCAAGCCCTCGGTATAGAGGAATGTCCTGCATTAGGGTGACAGGAGGCTCCTGTTGGAGATGGGGGTGTTGTTTCACCTGGGGGATGTTGAGTTTTTTTGAGCGATTATGTGTGATTCAGTGGCGATTCTGCACTCGCAAAGGAATTGCCTCTCGTGAAGCTTTTCAAGTGTCTTGATGAAAGAGTTGATCAAGTTGTCGTAGCCATCGAGTCAGGTTCTTTCCGTTGGAGCGCAGGTAAATTGATCAAGGTACAGACCAAAGACGCCATCAAAGCCCAAAGACCATCAAAAGCACGCATCTCGACGCTTAGCATAGCTAGTATGGAGCCGAACAAAGCCGGCCGAGAGGCTGAAGCATTGCTGGAACAAGGTCGAGTTTCGTCGTGTTGTAGAAGGAGGAGTTGAAGTCGTCTGGGCCTCTGTGCTAGTCCGTATCAGTACTAGCGCGCACCCCTGACGGGCAGCGATAAAACACCAGAAACGACAGGGGATGAGACGCTATTACTACACGAACAAGACTCGCTCGGGGGGCAGGTCTAAGATCCGGATGGCAGGTAACACGGATCCAGCCAGTGCCGACACTGGACGCGGGGGAGAACGAACATGGTCCAAGCTGCTAAAAGCTCTTTCAACAGTTACAGGTTACAGGTGTGTCTTGTTGCCAGGTCCACTGAGCTGAACCACTACAGAGAGTGCACGGCCAGACCCAGCAAACACGAGAAGACAAAGAGAGAAAAGAAGTGCTCTGTGCGGTGGCTGGCGTTCTCGATTTCTTGTTTCAACTTGTCGACAAGGGCCTTTGAAACTCTCGGCCGTGTAAGCGAGGACGGCCATCTTGTTCGATTTGGGTCAAGATTCACCAAGTTTGTCAAGAGGCCGCCCTGCTCTGCTGTTAGCGAGATCTTGTCTTGTCTGCTGGCTGTCAGCGGGGTGGCGATGCCATTTGACAGCTTCACCAGGGTGTCAGAGTTGTCCTTCAGTTGGAGTCTCCCAACGAGGTAGGTTGGTATCTCGAGATTCAACCTCAAAACAGCATCATGCACAATAGTGACAATACTATAATTAGCGTCAATAGCCTATATACTTGAAAGCGAAAAAGAAACAAAGTGAGGCTTTCTCGCCACAGACTCAACCTCCAGGCCTCCATTCCCAGCCTCCTGGTCCAGTGCAATCAATGTGAGACTGCCCGCATCAAGCTCTATCGCCCACGCGAACCCAATTGCGGAAAACGCTGCATGCACTAGAAGATGCGCATGGAAAGCAATGAGTCAAGTCAATGTCAAAGTCAAGCCCGCGATATCAAAGTCCTTGTCTAGGCGTTGACTGTTGAGTTCGGATCGAGCTGCTACCGCAAAAGTAAGTAAGCGAGGGCATGAACCAACAACCAACTACTCCGTAACAGATACGAGAATAACGAAGCTGAACCAACAACTTGTATCTCCTGAAACCACCTGCAAAAGACATCACAGCAATCTTACTCTACATTTTCCCGCTTCAATTCGGTGATATCATCTCCCACGTGCAGCTGACGGGCATACACGTCCGTGAGCCGCTGCAGTGTGGATGGATTTCAGAGGCACAGCACAGCTCTGCTGACCTTGGCAACCCGCACTCTTTAACAAGAAGCCATCTCAAGCTCTCAAGCTCTGACTTCCCGGCGGCAAGACGGGAACTACGGAGGTGAAATCCGGAACGTGGATGCCCACCCCTTTCCAACGGTATGGTATTCGTTTCGACGCGGTTCCGCTGCTTGCAAAGAATTCCGAGGACAGACAGAAAGCTCCAGCTACCACCCGCGGAATGCTCCGGATCTCACGTGAAACGTACTTCAGGACGGATAAAGTCTCTTGCGAGTTTTGATATTCTCTTGTCTGTTACAAAGTGACAAGCCCAGGACGTCATCCCTGGTCCGGAAAGCAACAGCGGGTACTCCCGGTCAAAGGACAAGCAGCCACGCAGTCATGATATCAGAGCAAGAAGACAAAAGAATGAAGAAGGTGCAACGTGAGACCAAGATTTTGAGCTTACTCCAAACGCCCGAAAGAGGAGTAAAAGAGGCAACAGGATCAAAAAGTCCCGGAGGCAATGCTCCGTGTGTAGACTGAGCACAAAGCAAGAAGTAGATCTCGATGTCGGGCATTGGTGGGGGATGCATTCAGCCGGCGGCAGACGCAAGGCAGAAAAAAACTGCAGAAAAACCGATCGTGGCTGGAGCAAGATGCAAGTCAGCAAGCAAGACAAATCAGTCGTGTGAGCCAACTAGACACGCAGTAAGAGAAAATTGGCTGAATGTTCAAAACGTCTTCATCCACGTCATGGCAACTTCTTCCATACGTCACCGCCACATCTTGAAAACCCCCGCTATTTGTGGCGCCGCCATAGAAGAGATCTCCAGTGAAGTGGCTCGTAGTGTGGGACAGAAGGTCCAGAACACAGGGCAGAAAGTGGGCCATTGAAGATCAACAGCCGCAAGAAGGAAAGGAAGTCGATCATCAATACTCGTAGAACATGGCATTCTGTGCACCTCTAAACCGCAATTCGTGTACTTTTCTTGCAAAACTGCAAGGGGCAAAGATTGCGTGTTGGACTTGTAAAACTACCCCGCAACGCGAGAGACGCGACTTTTGTTCCAAGTCTTGATGACGTCCGAGTGATGGTAGCTACAACTCTGACGTCAACCGAGCTTGTTTGCAAGCAGCCATCACAAGCCAAACACCAGAGCAGGACCCGTAAGGAGGAGCCTCAATTTCTGCTGTTACCCGTAAGAAATATCAACAAAAAAAAAGTCTATGACGACATTTTCCCACATTCACCCCCGGTTTGCTTCACATGACATTCTTCTCTTTGGCAGTGGAGGCAGGACCAACCAAAGATCGCGTGCGTGTCAAACGGGGAAATGTGCAAGCGCGATGACGAGAGGAAAGGGAGCTCCTTCCTCTCTGCCTGAGGTGCGGAGCATTCTCTCAGAGAGTGAATCATGGTCTATATAAACCTTCTCCTGCCACCCCCAAGCTTCGATTCCTCTTCTCTCATCATCATCACACACACACTCTCAAGCACAAAGCACCACAACTTTCAACCACAACCACCTTCAAACCAAACCCAACCAACCCATCACAATGGATTCCATCAAGCAAGGCGCCAACTACGTCGCTGAGAAGGCTCAGGAGGCTACCTCTGGTGCCTCCAAGGAGACCAACAAGCAGGTCGCCAAGGACTCTGATGCCGGCATCGGCACCCGGTAAGTCACTTCGACTCTCTACTCCTCTTCCAACAGACAACTAACACTTCTTCAGTGCCTCTGCTGCCAAGGACGCCATTGGCGACAAGGCTCAAGAGAAGAAGCACGAGGGCAAGGGCGAGGCCCACAAGGAGGCCATCTAAGCTCAACCACATTTCGACACAACAACAACCACGAGTTGAACGGGGAGGAGATATGGAACTGTCCTGAGGAGGATTCGGGCTGACTCCTCATTGTTTTGGAGCAGCACCGCGACTGGCATTCAGATACCCTACATTCAGTAGCCCCTCAATCGACCTAATAACGACATGAACATGTGCCTGCTTGTGATGTGATGATTGTTCCTCAGCTACCTGACGAGACGCTTCTTATGCTTGCAAGTTGACAATAGAAATTGTGTTTTATGCCACGACTTTGAGCTGCCTCGAGCAGCTCAAATGTTCTCCTGTGAGTTCTCACAGGCTCTTCTTGCTTTGTCGCACACTCAGTGCGTTGGAGATATCCTTTGCCGAATACCAGATGATCCAGAGAGGGATCCACACCCAGAGCGTGTTGAAGAAGACAAGATACACCCAGAGGTACATAAAGTTGCTCGTGTCGAGGTTTAGGTTACCAATGAGCCATTCGGGGCAGAATGTCATGAAGCCTGGCAAGTCACCGTTAATCACCAAACAAGCTCTGTCTCTACGAAGCCATTCAAACTTACCTCCATACAGCTCGCAGGTCGCCAGGATAATCATCCAGATGCTAACCTTGGGATCCCGCTTGGCAAGACAATAGCAGATATACACAGCCAACGGACCATCGAAAAACACCGTCAGCAACTCCAAGCTCACGACGCCCAAGTCAACACCCGCCCATCGCTTATCCGCCTTGGCATACACCATCCACAGCTGCGCAAACGGGTTACTTCCCCCAGACTGCGCGCCATACACGCGATCGCTATAACCCAAGAACCCAGCGGGCGTGGGAAAGTATCCGGCCGTCGACTCGGAGATTTGCTCGTGCGAGAAGAAGCAGTGGTACAGGAAGCTGCCCTCGAGGAGGAAGTGGCACAACGCGTCGGCCAGGTGCCAGATGAAGAGGAAGCGGAGTGTCCCTGTGGAGGACGAGGGGAGGAAGCGGAGGGACGCGAGGTAGGCGGCTGCGACGATGGCAAGGGTCGAGAGGAGGGAGATGATTGTCGTTTGGTCGAAGAGGTCGGGTGGGAGGGACGAGGTCCACGACTCGGCGGAGGGAGCTTCTGTGGCCATTGTGATGGGATTGTAGCTTCAATTGGGTGCTTCCAAGACTGTAGATGGCGTTGAAATAGTTTACACAAGACAATTGAGCCGTGTTTGGATGGGAGCGGTGTCGAGCTGATGCTCGACTGGGAGTTAATTTCACAGCCGTTGTGGGGTGCAGATGTTACGCCTGCATATAAGCAGTGGCCTGTGCATGCACCCTCTCCACCACTCAACCATGGATGATATTCACAACTATCAAGACTCTCCCAGTAATGTCTCTTACCTGGATTCACGGTAGAATACATAATCATTGCTGTATTAGTCCTTGCGTTTGTAATTCTTGGTCCTATAGTACAGAATACCCATTCCCCTGGTCCGTTGATCCCTATATATATATATATGCACATTTCATAACCCATACTCATGCATCCATCCATCCATTCATATCCCTTCCTAACCCATCATTTGTCCCATTCCTTATAGCTCTTTTGCTTCTGTCTTGTGTTCCAACCGAGCTTCCCACTGATGCTATTCACCCAGTCCTCGCTCCGCCGTCCTTCAGACTGTACCGAAGCGAACGGATACCGACTCGCGCTGATGGTGACGTAGTCGCCCGGCTTGAGTTCGATACGTTCGCGGCCGTCAAAGCTGGCCCACGACGCTGTCCTCGCATTGTACGGTACTCCGATACGTAGAACGATCGTGTCAGGGAGGATGATGGGTCGGAACGATAGCGTATGCGCGCAGATGGACGTGACTAGCATCACGGGGTTCTCCGGGTGGCAGAGCGAGCCGCCAGCCGCCAGGTTATACGCCGTCGAGCCAGTAGGCGTCGACACGCAGATGCCGTCGGCGAGCACCGAGGTGAAGTGCTCGTCGTCGCCAAAGATCTCGGTGTACGACATGGCTAGAATATACGTCAATGATACAACATCTCCTGCAGGGGCGGTGCGGGTTATGGGATTCTCACTTGGATTGGGCCCTCGGTCCACCACCACCTCGTTCAGAATCTCAAACGTCCCATCCGGTCGATGCGTGTGCTCGTCTTCTCTCTCCTCTCCGATTAGTTCTTCCACGAGGTCGCGCTGTCGGTGCAGCTCTTCCTCATCTTCCTCTCCGACCCCGTCTTCGAGCTCTGGCCGCTTCCGTGGCTGGCTCCTCATGACAGTACCCTCGAACCGCAGCCGTAGGCTCACTGTGACGCCCTTAGTAAAGGCTGATGTGAGTGTCCGCTGGTAGTCTTCAAAATCAAACTTGGTCAAAAAGCCCAAGCTCCCCAACGCAAAACTCAGCACGGGGGGCACGATGCGCTGGAACAGCCAACTAGCATAGAGCACTGTTCCGTCGCCGCCGAGCGAGATGACAAAGTCAAACGTGTGCGGTCGTGTCCGACACATGTGCTCGTCCCAGTACCGCAGACGCTTGTGGAGCATCTCGCGCGCCGCCGCCTCGTCCATCTCTCCCAACCCGGCGTATCCCTTGCTCAAATCATCGATGAGCCCCTTAACGTCAAACCTCTTGTTCGTCTTGAGCTTGTCCTGAACGTAAACGGTGTACGCGGTCTCTCGGTCGTGGTGAAGCAGCCAGTGCGTCAGCTCGCGCGTCTTGGGGATCAGGTCCTGGTCGTAGATCTTTGTGAGGAGGAAGATGGACTTGACGCGGAACCGGATGCGCATGCTGCTCAGACGACGGCTCAGCTCCCGCACGCCCCAGGCCATGTCGCTGAGCTGCTGCTTGGTGAGCAGCCGGCTGCGCACGTCGTCGTAGTCTGTGAGGTCTAGGTTGGAGAGGCTCTTTGTCATCTGCTGCGTCCAGGCTTGCTGGTCAGCTTGTCCAGTGCATAGATGATCCATGCTATCGGGTTCTTCGACAACGGCTCGACACTTCTTATTGGACTTTGGGTCCACCAAGACATCGAGGCTCTGGTCCCTGGGATCAACCTGATCACCATCATATGTGGTGTGACTTGTGGTGAGGCTGATGTCCGGCACGTTGCCCATGTACCCAGTCGAGGCCTGTCCCGTCGAGTATTCCGAGTCGGGATCGCTGGCAGAGCTGGCTGCATCCTTTGCTCGGCGTTGGCTGTCGAGGAACTGGTGAACGAGACATTCGTCGCGGCGGGTCGAACGGCGAATCGTAGGCTGCCTCATCTCAGAGGCAACCATGGAGCTCTTTCGACGATAGGGGTTTCCCGGGTCAAAGACGACCTGCAAGCGACGTCAGGAGGAGCCGTCGAGCAATGCAAATAGAGAGAGGCGTTACCTCGACGGCGTTGCCATCGTCATCAGAGCTCCCGTCGGAGCTACAGCTCTCTTGAAAGGTGATGTGTTTTCCTGCGCGCTCGCCCATGGCTGCGTGCGTGTGCTGACGAGTGGTGACAATTCAGCACGGCACAAGCACTCCCTGTATCCCGTATCTACTCTCGTCTGATATCGCCTGTCGCGTCGCGTGTTGTAGGTTCCCAGTAGATGACGTTGTGAGCCGGGTCTTGATGGCGGGGCAGATGGGCCCACTTGATCGCCGCCAGGAGAGAAGCAAGATTGCCGCAAGAGGAAGTTGGATGTGAATGAAGAACTCTCGTGGGATGAGACGCCGGTTTTCGATTGCGTTTCGATGGTAGAGCAAGGTTTTTGTGCGAGATGTAGATGTAGATGTAGATGCAGCTGGTCAAGGTTAAAGGAAGAAGGTAAGCCTCTTGCTGGAAGCGGTCGACTTGGCGAGCTCAGATCATCAAGGCCCGTTCGCCCAATGAAGGGATGTTTCTGCTGCCGCAATGGATGATTCTTTCAAGTGGGGTTTGGGTTCTCAAAAGCCTTTGCTAGAGCTACCGTGACTGATTGTGCCGCATCTACATCACGACCATGATCTTTGTAGCTTGCCATTGGCTCCCTGGGTCAGCCGACTGTATGTAAGTAGACAGCCTTGTCTCTTTTCTCCGTGAGCAGCCTCTCATGTCTGGCTTAGTGAAGCTGACTCAACCTGTAAGCCATATTATCAAGACCACGAAGCATTCGCCCGAGGTTAATAAGTAGTCAAGTATGCATGGCGTCTCAGGGGTTAGCGCCGTGTTATCTCAACCTCTCTCCATGGAGCCGTGTTCAAGTCGGCTACCCTGGAGCTGCCACGACATCGAGCTGTCCCTCTGTTTTGGCTGTAGTAATACTGCAACTTCGCCACTACACAAGCCTCTCCCGGCGATTTGGTTCAATTTTGCCTTCTAGGTGCCCATTTTATTCGATAATCTGGGCATGAAGGTGTTGAAGGCGTGAATGTTGTCTAGGTTCGCTCAACTTAGGATAGGGACACTTTACGTCTGGTGATGTTGACTCCTTATTAATCTATATTTGCCAAAACAAAAGAAACAGTGACAAGACGAGCTTAGAGAGTATATTTAAAAAAAAAAAAAAAACCTCACTATAGCTATACTCCAAATAATTGCGCCGATGCATCGATACAGCAAAATGTTGTTGCTGTAATAGATGTCTCGATCTTCAAGACTCAGCTCATGGCTGCGCCATAGACATACCCTACACCATACCCCTCAACGTCCCGGGAAGCCACAAACTCTGGACAGATACTCGGTGATTTGGACCGGGCTTCACCATCCCAGTTCAATTGGTTATCATAGATCAACATCGTAGATTACACCGTGATCAGAGCCTCTGCCATGTTTCGACAAAGGTAAATCGGTAAAAAGGCCAATCAACCAAACTGTGGAACTCAACCCCTCGCTCTTGGTTGGCCGAGACGTCTTCCCACCAGGTCGAAATGGCCGTCACCATCATCACCACTACATCTACACAGCAGAGATACGAATATCACAACGTCGTGAACCGCACACGCCTCGAGAACGCAGCAAGCCTGACAGCCCGCTCGAGACCTCAGCCACAATGGTCGACCAAGCCAAGAAGCACTTGATCGTCGTAGGTGCATGCTACTTGGACACGATCCTTAGGAACGCACCACCAACCGTGTCTACGAGGGCCGCCATGGCGTCTACTAACTCACCTCTCCAGTGTCCCCTTCTTCCCGCCCGAAGACTCCAAGTTGCGCGCCACCAGCCTCGGCATCCGACGTGGGGGCAACTGTCCAAATTCCCTCGAGGTCCTCGAGCAGTTGCTAGCTGACCATGATGCCCTCCAGCTGCATCTGGTGTCACCCCTGCCCAATGCCTCGTCATCTGCAACAAGACGCATCATCTCGTCCTTTGGCCCAGAGTCCAACATCAATTTCCACCACTGCATCTACCGTGACGCCAGCACCGAGGCGGCTAGCAGTTATATCATCCGCAGCGAGGAGTCAGGTAGCCGTACCCTTGTTAACTATAATGACCTACCAGAGATGACCCGGGACGAGTTTGAGCCCATCGCGCGGAGCTTCGATCCGGGCCAGGAGACGTGGTGGCACTTTGAGGTGGGATCCACGACCACCAGCTTCGTCCGCCCGCTGGCCTTGGGCTGACATGGAGGAAACAGGGCCGAATCCCTGACACGACTCTGAAGTGCATCCGTCTCCTGCGTAACGTGCGACCAAGCGCGCAGATAAGTGTCGAGGTAGAGAAGCCGGGCCGCGAAGGTTTGTTGGAGCTGGCGGCCGAGGCAGACGTCGTCTTTTACTCGCGGAGCTGGGCCGAGGTATGAGTAAACCCACAATCGCCCGTCTGTTTGTCGTGAGCCGGCACCGCCTGACAATGCTATGGATGCATAGAGTCGAGGACACCGGTCTCCGGAGGCCTGCCTGAGAGCTGAGGGACACCGCAAGGCGTACGTGGAATCCGAGATTGTGTATGCCTGCCTGCTTGGGCTTTGTTGGCTGACCATGATGCATACCTAGGTCGCTGGCACTGTGTACGTGGGGTGCAGACGGAGCCGCTGGTCTGTCTCGGTCCGCAGGCGAGTGTTTTCGCTGCCCTGTCCAGGGCGAAGCCGGAGGAGACATATCCGTGGTCGAGTGCGTCGTCCCGCCCTGCCCATCTTCCCATGTCATGTCCCAAGATGCCCCCCTCCCTGGCATAGCACAAGAGTACAGTAGCGGGAACTGCAACAACTGACCATTGCCCGAGATATAGTGCGGTGGGAGCCGGGGACACCTTCATAGCTGGAATGCTGTACGGGCTGCTATGCCACCCCGGCGACTGGAGCACCGGGGAGAAGCTGGGTTTCGCCGTCCGACTGGCCACACTGAAAGTGCAGCGAGAGGGGTTCGCTGGGCTCGGGGCAGACATACTGGGGACTTGGATGCGGTCGAGTGCCAGATTGGTCCCCTCTGCCGCCTAGCGGCTCAGTCGGTAAACATGATGCTCATCTGCTTGACGACGATCGAGGCACCACACGCTCAACCCTTGGTGCAAGGGTGGGCCGGGATAGAAGACGGAAGGTCAAGGGATGATGCCGAGGGCGCTAAGTCAACAAGAGCAAAGGAAAAAACAACCAAGACAGACAGACAGGCGACAGATGGCTTACAGCGGCTGCGACTTGGCTGTGCGAGATTAAGTGGGAGGAAGAGAGTGTGAGTGAGCCTGGGCCTGGAAGGGGGGCTGACGGTGGACGGATGGGGGAGAAGGGAGGGGGAGAAAGGCGGTGAAAATGGGATAAGGCCCTTCCTCTGCCTGCAGTGGATGCCAGACAAGAGTGGTGACAAGGGGCAGCAGGCGTTAGCATCGAGTTGTGTGCACTATCGACATCTTTCTCCAGGTCCACAAGACCACCATGTCTGTCTCAATCTTTGCTCTGTTGGGTGGTGGTGATGCAGGTGGATGCAAAGGTTCTGCTGCTAAAAGTAGGGGCCGGGAAAATGCTGCAAGACACGACCTTTGGCCACGCGGATGCGCCGGGGGGGCTTCTGCATGAAGACAACTAGTCTGGAAGCCGTCTCTGGTTGAGCACATCACCATGGGCGATACCCAGCACAGTGGCCAACGTCTGTTGCTAATGCATCCTAGAGGAGCAAGCGGCGTCGTCATGCCATGAGCAGAGGTTGCCGAGAGGTAGGTTGGCTAAGGTGGTGAGCCGTGAATCGCTGTCTGGTTGCTGGGCTTGGCTCCCCAACTCACATCGCAGCATCATCGGGGAACGGGGGGTCAGGCTTGAGACGTGTCAGATGGGACAGGAGGAAACGTGAGAAGGAGTCAGTGGCTGCCCGCTTGACAGGGCCGGCGCCATGCTCGTAAGGGTTGGGCCGCGAGGGGATCGAGACGCTCTCATGTAGAACTAAACGAGGTACGGATACAGTACATCCAGTACCAGCAGTGGACTGCTAGAAAGGGGCGCGAGGTAGACCAGGAATATCGGATCATATTGACTCGCGACCTAGAGAAACGTCAACGGTGGTGCAACATCCAGTTGGTAGAACAAAGGGTATTAGAGAAAAAGAAAGGACAGCAACCGAGTCAACAGCCGGTCAAACCAAACTAGGCTCGACGGGGAGAACAGGCAGGCCAAAGGCTGTGGGAGGATTCATTGAAGGGGCGATAATTAGTATGTGGAGCCATCACCGATCGAGAGGGAGCTGAAGGCGAGTAGAAAGCCAACAGAGGACAAAGCTTCAGATCCATCCCTGGCTGCACATGGCTCCCATCTCGGTAAGAGAGCGCTGGATGATCCGTCTGAAAAGTGAATGCATTCTCCAAGGCCCTTGACAGCAAAGAAATAGGGGTGCCTGCTAACCAGTGTTCGAGAGGGGTGGTTGCAGCGCTAAAGCCCTTGAGCGTGCCCAGTCAGAGTTGGACGGCGCCCAGGTAAGACGCCGTGAAATTAGCAAGGGGCGTTTGCTGGCAAACAAGACAAGACCGAGCGAGGGTTGCGGACTCGGAGGCCCAGGCCTCCCAGTATCCGTGGCGTGGCTGAACTCTGGCCCGCCCTCGACGTCCCGATCGGTGGGGCTCTCGGACGGAGCAGCGGGCGGCTGCTGGAGACATCTCGGCCGCCCGGGGCTCCATAGCAATTGTCAGAACTACGCCGCAGGCGTTGACCATGTACTGGACGGGACTGGACTGGACGTCTCGTCCCTGGTCACACAAGTACCTAGCGTTGGCGACTGATCATCCCCAAAGTAAATGTCTCACATCGTTTGAGCAACACAAGCAGGCCCTGGCTGACTTTACGTCGTGAAGTGTGAACAACCCTCGTCTTGTCACAAGCGTCAGAGTGCTCATGGGCAAAGACCCCGGTCATGATCTTGCTTGCTGTAGTTGTCATAGGCTTCCTGGTTGATTGTGAACCTGATGATAGCGGCGGTGGAGTCTCGTACTTCGCAGTGCAGGACGGATAGAGGCGCTTTGGTTCCGTTGTGAATGGTACAGTACATCGCAGTAGCCGACCTATGGATAAAGGTCCCCGCCAGAACTCGTTCCTAGTTTCGAATCTTGATGTCGAAATCCGCGCATTCATTTTGGTCAAGTCAAATGATGCCAAGATGGCTCTGGCGGGACGTCATCTCAAAGCCGGGGTGACGCGTTCCAGGAAACGGTTGTGGCGGCTCATGCAGCAGCCGTACTCGCGACTTGACTGCGCTGTGTGTTGGCGCGTGCCCAGATCGTCAGCGTCTTGATCAAAGTAAAATTGGCCAACTCCTAGGCGGAAGCCTGTCAACTTGTCTCATGCTGCTTCGAGGCTTGGAGCTTGGTGAGATTGGGTTGCGACGGGGACGCTGGGGTCCAATCAAAAGGGGCAGTTCGCAAAAGCAAAGTGTAGCGGGCTCGGCTCCTCTGGCTGGTCGAGGTTTCGGAGTCGACCTGCTCTGGTCTGCTCTGCCCAGACAGGGTCCGGCCATCGTGGTAGGCAGGCCTCTTTGCCGTAATTGACGGCGCACCGTCCATGGGCCGCATTCCGCCCGTGGCGGTACCGCGCGGCCCCACCAAGAACCACCAGATTGGCATTGACATCAATACAAGATGTGGGGGTCGAGGAGGAATCTGCAGGCGGGCTGTAAAAGTCGGCAGCCCAAGACCATTGATTGACTGACATTGGGAGTGGGTGGGAAGAGCCGCCCGTTGTCCATGCCAATAGGCTTAATCATCATGTGTGAAGATATCAAATGAGAGAAGCCCCCGGTGAGGGACAGGTTTCATGAAATACTGGACAATATCCGCACTTCGTACCGAAATATCTGGACCTGGTCAAGTTAGCAACGCTTTCCTCAACCGCTCGATTGGCCATGCTGGGCCATGTTGCAGCCGAGTCCTGTGGGTGGTGATCCGTTCCACTGGAGGCCAGCCAAGCGGGACCCAGAATACGCCAAACACTTTTGCTGCCTTTTGCGTTGAGTGATTCAGACTTTTCCCCCTAAAGCACCACTCGTCGGGGCCACAGCAGACCAGGGGTCGAAGCCCCAACCTGTCCAGTCCATCACCGTCGGCCAACCTCATCACCAGAGTCCTTCTTGGTCTTGACAAGCCTGACGCCAATATCAATCGTGGTCGATACTGCCAGTAAGAGCAGGCCCTGTCGACGAGTCATGGAGGAGTGTGGGTGTAACGAATGACTGTGTGCAGGGTCATCGTCTCAAAGAAGGCACCTGCATGATCATAAACCTCCCGCATGCTGTGGCAGATGGATGGTGCTCAGTCCTGGCGGCGAAGCCGGGGCCATCGGAACCTCTGGCGGCGAATCTTGCTTGCTTGCATCCATTGCAAGAGGGAGGAGGCGTGCCCAAACACTCGGCCGCACGCCACGGTAGTCGACAGAAATACCAGTGGATCCTTGGTGGAGTGGTACCCATAGGATGAATCAATATTTATGTCGACTGGCTTCTGATGTGGGGTGTTTGTGGCAGCCTCCGCGGCATGGGCTTTACATCGTTTAGCCCTAGCGGCGGGTAGGATGGAGTTGGGGCCTTGAATGTGTGCGCTGCCGGTTATAGAACCCATTCTACCCCGGCCTGCATGTCCAGATGATGCCAAAGAGACCGTGCTTCTGCACAAGGGCCAGTCACCACGCCAATTGCCCGCTCCCCTCAGTGCTGGACCCATGGCAGCGGTTTTGCAAGGTGGCTTCCGCCACACGTTTGGAGTCTAGCGTAAGGGCACGGCGCATCCCAGGCCCAGGTGCAAGGTCCCTGGGTCTGATCATCTCCGAACCAGTGCCCCTTGGTGTTGAGGCGGCAGCTGTGGGATGCTGGCATTATCTTTTTGAGGTGCTGTCGAGTCCGAGTTGCGCGTCCATGACCCGGTCTCACTCACTTGGTGAGTGCTGTGGCTTACTTCCGAGCCTTGCGTGCACAAGGCCGTGCGTGGGAAGTTTGAGCAAATGTGAATATGGCTGGGATGAGCAAGTTGATCGTCAAGTGATGGGGTTGCGGCTTTGACGAATTCTTCTTTTTCTGTTCCTTGGCGGGACCCAGGCGCCGAGGCATGCTGATCCCTGGCGGCTTTAGCACACCCATTCCACGCCTCCCCTGTCGTAGTTTCAAGCCTCCACGCTCTCCTCGAGTTAGCGCAGGGTGGGCCGTCCGCCGCCTCCAGATCCTGGCTTGTCCCCCAGAGCAGAGAGTGCATGGATCTTGCTGAGCCACCAATGAACTTAGAGTCGAAGCCAACGGAGCTTGTGATGGACACAATCATGCTCCGATGCGCCAAGCGAAACGTTGACCATTTGATGTGGTGGCTTGGTTGGAGTAATGCCTTTTTAGATTGCCGCCTCCATTCATGGGAAACGAGACGCAGGCTGACATACCTCCGGTTTTCCATCCTCTGCAAATACATGGGACCAATATTGAAGCAAGCACAAGAATCCTTTCTAGTTCGTAAGAATCCTTCCAGTTCGGTTCGGGCTTCAGCTTAACAATGTAATGCGTTTGGACTGGAGATGACAAGGTCTCGTGTGTATGGCCTGTTTCTGCATGACGTGGGAAACCTAGCGAGTTTGCTTCTCCTGTCTCGTCTATCCACAGACACTGGACTGGTTGCCGATCGTGAAAGTGAGCCTTCCTCCCGGGTGGGCTACGCACTCGGTAATGAGAGGACGATTCCCATTGTGTGGTTTTGGGGTAGCAAATAGAATACGTAGTAACAGGGGTGTGCCCAACAAAGCTCATGGGCTTTTTGGGAAGAGGGGGTATCAAAAAAGCTTTCAGCCTTGATGGGCCTGGCGCAGGATTGCTTTAGACCTAAGAAGCGCAAGCAACCGTGTTGCTTGTGAGCGCGCAATCGTGAACATTCGACGAGCTTGCGGATCCAGACCTGAAGCCGGGCTACTGCTAAGAAAGGCGACCAAGCTACCGACAGCTCAGCCGGGATAAGCCACCGGGCCGTGGTCAGTGTGGTACTGTAGTCATCACT